TTATGGCTGAATAAAATTCTGTTGTGTGTGTATTTTCTTTATTCATTCATCTGTTGAAGGATACCTAGATTGATTCCATACCTTGGCTGATGTGAATTGTGCTGCAATAAATATTGTGTGCATGTATTTCTGTAGTATGCTGATCTTAATTCTTAATTCTACCAAAAAGCAGTATAACCCATTCTTTGTCTTTTAAGGAACCACCATACTGATTTCCACAGTGGTTGTATTAATTTACATTCCCACCAACAGTGTATGAAAAAATTTCCCCCTGCATCCTTATATTTTTAATTAATTTATTTGTTCTTATTTGTTATACATGACAAGCAGAATGCATTTCAATTCATAGTACATATATGGAGCACAATTTTTCATTTCTCTGGTTGTACACAAAGTAGAGTCACACCATTTGTGTCTTCATACGAGTATCTAGGGTAAAGATGTCCATCTCATTCCACCATCTTTCCTACCCCCATGCCCCCTCCATTCCCCTTTCTCCTCTTTGCCCTATCTAAAGTTCCTCCATTCCTCCCATGCTCCCCCACCCATTATGGATCAGCATCCACTTATCAGAGAAAACATTTGGCCTTTGTTTTTTTGTGATTGGCTTACTTCACTTAGCATGATATTCTCTAACTCCATCCATTTACCTGCACATGCCGTGATTTTCTCTTTTAATACTGTGTAATATTCTATTGTGTATGTATAATACAGTTTCTTTATCTATTCATCTATTGAAGGCCATCTAGGTTGTTTCCACAATTTAGCTATTGTGAATTGTGCTGCTATAAACATTGATGTGGCTGTGTCCCTGTAGTATGCTGATTTTAAGTCCTTTGGGTATAAACTGAGGAGTGGGATAGCTGGGTCAAATGGTGGTTCCATTCCAGATTTTCTAAGGAATCTCCACACTGCTTTCCAGATTTTTGACTTTCTAACAAGAATGAGATGAAGTCTTGGTGTAATTTTGATTTTCATTTCCCTAATGGCTAGGATGTTGAACTTCTTTTAGTTTACTTTTCTTTTCTTTTTTTTTTTTTGAGACAGGTCTCACTAAGTGATCTCAAACTGGCTATCCACGTGCCTCTGCCTCTCAAGTAGCTGGGATTATAGGTGTGTGTCACTGTGCCAGGTTGGTGCTTTGTCTCTTGAGGCTGTGTCACAAGCACTGTAGTCCCTCCTTATCTGAGGGGGATATATTCTAAGACCTCCAGTGGATGTCTGAAACTGCCAGTGGTACTGAAAACTACATATACTGTTTTTTTTATATGTACACACCTATGATAAAGTTTATCATTTAGGCACAGTAAGATATTAACAACAAGGGCTGGGGTTGTGTCTCAGTGGTAGAGTGCTTGCCTAGTATGCATGAGGCACTGTGTTCAATCCTCAGCATCACATAAAAATAAATAAATAAAATAAAGGGATTGTGACATCTACAACTAAAATATTTTAAAAAGATATTAACAATAATAATGTACAGCAATTATAACAATATAGTGTAATAAAAGTTATGTAAATATAGTCTCTCTCAAAATATCTTATAATGTATTCACCCTTCTTTGTCCTGTAGTGATGTGACACGTTACAATGCCTATGTGATGAGATGAAGGAAGTAAATGAGGTAGGCATTGTGATGTAGTGTTAGGCTACTTCATAAGGGTTATTTAAATACAAGCACTGACATACTGATACCTCAATAGTCAATCTGATAACTCATATTGGCTACTAAGTTATACAGTATGGATGTTGGGCAAAGGGATGATTCACGTCCTGAGTGGGATGGAGTGGGAAGCACAAGATTTCATATCACTACTCAAAATGGTGCTAAACTTTAAACTTATGAATTGTTTATTTTGGAATTTTCTATTTAATGGTTTTGGACTGGTTGACTGAGAGTAACTGAAACTTGGTTAACTGAAACCTTGGAAAGCAAAAATATGGCCTTCAGAGAAATAGGGCACCTGACACTTTCCCTCATCCCTATATTTCTTTGTACTCACTCATGCTTATCTTGCAGTCTCCACAGGTGTTGGTGTATTTAGTACTTATTACACTGTATTACAATTCCTTTTTTTGTTTGTTTTTGGGTACTGATGATTGAACCTAGGTGCACTTGACCATTGAGCCACATCCCCAGCCCCTTTTAATTTTTTTTTTTTTAAATTTTGAGACAGGGTCTCCCTAAGTTGCTAAGGGCCTCGCTAAGTTGATGAGGCTGGCTTTGAACTCAAGATCCTCCTGCCTCAGCATCCTGAGTTGTTGGGATTACAGGCATGTACCACCACATCTGGCTTCAATTATTTTTTTTATGTGCTGCTTTCATTTAGGAGCCTGTGGGATTCTTGAGGGAAGGGTTTGTATCATTTTTAAAATCTCTATTGCCTAGCAAAGTACCTTGTATATGTGTGGGTGATAGTTTTGGTATGAACAGATGCATGATTCAGGTGAATTTTGGTGTCTGAATTGACACTTGAATTTGATTTAAAAAATTTTAAGCCGGGCTGGGGTTGTAGCTCAGTGTTAAGAGTGCTTGTCTCGTACATGTGAGGCACTGGGTTTGATCCTCAGCACTACATAAAACTAAATAAAATAGATATTGTGTTCATCTACAAGTAAAAAGAATTTAAAAAATTCTAAGCCTACATTTCAGGAAGGTGGATCTTTTAAATATACGTTTTCAGTTCTTACATTATGCCAAAATATACATTATATTGGTAATGATATTGGTAAAAGTCGTTTTTGCTATCTAAAACTAAATGCATAGTTAACTGTGATAAACATTTTCTTTCCTTTTCAAAAGCTAGGTAAAAATATAATGAGTTTATATCAATGTCTGAGTGTATATATATATACATGTGTGTATAAATTTACAAATGTATATACATTCTCTCTCTCTCTCAAAAGCTAGGTAAAAATATAATGAGTTTATATCAATGTCTGAGTGTATATATATACATGTGTGTATAAATTTACAAATGTATATACATTCTCTCTCTCTCTCTCTCTCTCTCTCTCTCTCTCTCTCTCTATATATATATATATATATATATATATATATATTTCCCTTGACAGACACACATCTATGGAGCTATTTACCTGAAACATATATTTCATTACATTTTATATATCAAAAAGCTGTATTCAAAGATATTTCAGAGGGTTGGGGGTATAGTTTAATGGTAAACAATTGCCTAGCATGTGAGAGGCCATGAGTTTGATCTCTAACACTGCAAAAAAAAAAAAAAAGATATTTTAGACATAGTATTTTCAAAGTTCACAGGTAACAAAATAATGTTAGGATGGCTTTCAGGTATCAGATGGGGGGTAGGACACAAAAGTTTCATTAATAAAATACCAGTTAATGTGTTCAAGAACAAAAATATACAACCTGGAGTCTATTGATAGATGGGTGGTTTAAAATATGTTAGATGTGCTCTTGGACAGAGATGATAGTGATGGTGATGATGGTTGGGAGACAGGATGAGTAATGATCCCTTGTGTGAGATTCTGGAGACTAAGAAATCCCTAAAAGAGCAGAACACCATTATCTCTGGAAAGCTTGAAACATTAGTAGTGTATCCCTCTGCATATTTCATTCAATAGAAGACTAGGAATTTGAGGGAGAAGCAAGGAAGTATAGATGTTATATAACTAGTACAATGAAAAGACAATGTGTTCTACAGAAACTTCAGGTTGTTTATTATTTTGGAATAAGCTCCTGTATTTGTCATGGCATAATTTTGAGCAGCTGCACAGGCAACAGATACGTTTCCTACTTTCTTCAGCTAGTTGACAACTGTCTCCAGAGCCGGGTTTCTCACTCATCACTATTGATATCTTGGGCCATATGGCTTATTGTGGGACTATCCTGTGCATTGTAGGATGTTTAGAATTCCTAGCCCTTATCCTCTAGATGCCTGTTATGGTTTGGATCTGGAATGTTTCCTGAAGGTTGCTCTCCAGCTACTGGCACTTTTGGGAGGTGGTAGAAACTTAAGAGTGGGACCTAGTTAAGTAGGTCACTGGGAGTATGTTCCTGAAGATCAAATCTTATCTCAGGCCCCTTCCTCTTACTTTTGCTTCTTTGCCACCATGAGTGGTCACTTCTAGTGATGGCTTTCCCCAGGGAGAGGGGATTAGCATGAAGACAGGATGAGATTAAATCTCCCAGGAAAACTACAGAGTACATCTATAAATAATTACAATAAAGTTGCTGCCATATCAGGGTGGTAAACAGGGTGATGAAGTAGCACTGGAGTTCTGCTTTGTATGTGGCTATTTGTTCAGAGCTAGCTATATATATTTAGAGACTCAGCTTTCATTTTTTGAACTAAATATAAACATAACCTGCTTATAAATTTGATACAAGCTAAAAATGTGACTTTAGGAAAAATGGGGCCAGAGGGGTTTATGTTATTACAGTGCAGAGAGCTGTGGCATCAGCCATCCCTATCAGATTGCTAGGGAAGGTTACCATACTTGAAACCTGTTCTTCACTGCTGTCCTTAAAGGTATGGACAGGTGAGCCAAAGTGGGGTAGGGGTACTAAGAGTTCAGAAACTAGAATCAGCCTGTCTGGGTTTGATGTCTGTTTTTGATAGCCAGCTATGTGACTTTGGGTAATTTATCTGAGTTTCAGTTCCCTCATCTGTACAACTACTCAAAGAATTGTGGGTATTAAATGAAAATGCATCTAACCTGCTTAACATCATACCCAGCATGTGGAATATATTTCATAAATGTTAGTTATTATTGCTGTTACTATTTGATTCAATCTCACAATTCTTACTTTGGATCTTTATTTATTTATATGCAGTGCTGAGGATTGAACCTAGGGCCTTCACAGATGCCAGGCAAGTACTCTACCACTGAGCCACAACCGTAGATCCTCACAATTCTTACTTTGGAAAGATAGAAAATAACTGCTTAGGACTTTTATATTCTCCAAGAAATTACTACTATAACACAATGATAATAAAACAGTGACCTTTATTGAGAACTTTCAAACATTAAAACTTGATGAAGTAGTTTTCAATTTAGTTTATCAAAATACTTCAGTTTTCCAGTTGGATCTGGGATTATCTGTTAAGACAAAACAAAAAAAGCAAATTATTCCTTTTAAAAGTCATAGTCTGGCATTAGTTTCCTATCTCTTGACTGAAGATAAAAAATTACATTTGTATACCAAATTGTATCATATATACTTAAGAAAAACTAGATATGTCCTACCTACTAATCTCAGCTATCCCAAAAAGTAAAACATTTATTTTTTAAAATAAATTAACATCTGTACTCAAGCACCCCCAAATTTACTTACAGCTCTTCTCTTGGCCACCAGGCTTTCATAGCATCTTCAGGTTTGATCTAGTTAAATCAAACACATTGAGAGCATGGCTACAGATGTTAATGTATTTTTAAAACTGTTTGCTGATTAAATGATGATATGCTACGATAACTTGAAAAGGGAGTAGTGTGTTCATTATGGGTTTATCAAGAGAATTTTTGGGAGCTCCACAATGCAACTTTTTAATCTCAAGCTACAAAGTAAAAAAAAAAAAACAAAAAAAAAAACAAAGATTCAAAACAATATCAATTATTACCTTCAATAACTATTTTAGTGAATGAGTACTCTGAAAGAAAAATGCTCCTTCCAAGAGCATGATAGCCATAAGAACTTATATACTTTATTTTTTCCAATATAATTTGATCTCACATTAACTATGTTACTTGTTGGTTAAAGTACATCTACCTTTGCATATAAAAATAACCTATGGTAATCACTATAATTAACAGATTTTGAATCAGTTTCTAATAGATTTGCAAAACAGTTTTGCCTTTGAGATCAAAGTTAATATTACAATACCAACTGAGTCATCTCTACATAGATCTGATGGATCTTAAAGGGGATTTGAAGTTATGCACTAAAGGTACATTGAGTACTAGGTTCTTTATAAATTAAGTCACAAGTTAGTTTATATTTATAGATTATGGAAGCTTACAGATAGAAATATGAATCAGAAACTGCTATCTTAAAAACTAGCTTACAAAGCATTTGTTGGATAAGTAATTCAAGGTAGGGGATATTTCCCTCTGAAGTTATATCAAAACCAACTGTGAATGATAAATGATATCACTACCAAGCACAGGCATGTGCTAAGTATCCAACTCCTGAGAGATTAGTGAGAACTGCCAAGAAGTACAAATTAACTATGAAAGGCATTACAGGATGAGTATTATACATTTCAGAAAACACACTATCTACTTGATAACTTTTAGGGGTCACAAGCCCCTTTGAGAATCAAACTATGAATTCTTCCTTCAGAAAAATACATATGTATTATCACACTTTGTTTTTATTCTTAATTGACAAATAATAATTATATATATTTATGGGTTTTGGTCATTCTTTCAACACACATATACTGAACACCTGCTATATGATAACTATTCAAACTATTACTATAGCTAGATAGTACTTATTAGTGAACCCTTGGAGTTATAGTCTAATTCTAATTTTAGATTGTGGCAAATGCTTAAAAACATGGGGTGGAGATAGTGGTGAGGAAAGAATTTCAAGATGATATTTGAACTGAAATGTGAGTGAAGAGAGGGAGCCAGTAATACAGAAAGCAATACAGAAGGAACAGCAAGGGCAAAGGCCCTGAGGCAGGAATTAGCTTAGCATGTTCAAGGAACAGAAAAGGGCACACCTGAGGTTAAAGAGTAAATTACTCCTTCTGAATGTTTATGGATAATGGTACCTTTCTTTTTGGATTGCCAAGGAATTAAGTCTTAGAAATTTATATTTTCCTATTCTAAAATAATGATTTCTTCCTCTAATGCACTAGTATTTTTAAATTTCCTAACTACAGTTTGTATAAAACACTTGATTTTTAGAAGATAAAAATTCAAAGATTTTTGGTTGTTACTTAAGCAAAGTTTCAAGCAAGTTTCTAAATGTATTTTGAATATGTATCTACAAATTATGTAGTCTCCCTGATGAAAGAATGTACTGGTTTCAATCTTTTTCTTCTTCAAATGACATGGAGATAATCCTTAGTTTCACTGTTTATTAGATCAGATTTTCTCAAAGGCTTTTTATTATACACAGAAAGGTCTTGCCTGTAACTGTTTCTCGGCTCATAATATAGGAAGAATTTCATACACGCCCTCTAAATTTATTCTACTAAGTCTCTGTTTTTCCCCCTGGAATAGTGTATTTCTTGGATACTTAGCTTTAAAATTCACAGTATTAAACCCCATATTCTGCTTTCTTTAGTTTCAATTACTCTTCCTATAGTCCAGAGAATGTCTGTACTTTGTAATTTGTGCTTAGCTTGCTTCATTTATGAAGCCAAAACAGTTCTATTACAAGGCAATTTTTTGGCTCCAGCCATGCCTTTAACAGAAAAATCAACATGACTTACTGTTTCACTACCAGGTTTCCAGCCAGCGGGGCAGACTAAAAGGAACAAAAATGAGCAAAAGACAGTTTAAAAATAGAATTTAGTGTTTTTAAAAGCAACTCCTGAATTTGTTTTCGTATGAAACTGAAATTACAGAATATATAAATAACAACATTTCTAGACCATCAAACACTTGATTTCTGTTAGCTTGCCTGAACACACTAAGGAATTTTAATCATGGAGATTATCAATTTAGTTACATTTGTAATATAAGAAACTAAACTGAAGGTATCTAATAAAGTTGAAAAGTTTGCAAATCTGATCAACTGAAAAGCCTGGGCATAGCAAAAATTTCTCTGACTCTTCATAAATTTCCACTAAATTTGTCTGCCTTTGTAATCTATGTCAAGAGACTTTAGAATGCACCCTGACTGCTGGGTATGGTGGTGCACACATGTAATTCCAGCTTCTTGGGAGACTGAGGCATGAGGATCAAACATTTGAGGACAGCCCGGGCAATAAGAAAAAGAGCTGGGGAGCTGGGGATGCAGCTCAGTGGCACAGTGCTTCCCTTCCATTTTGTTACTGCTGAAACTTGGAGTAAAAGAATGAACTGATAGCTTACTAGTACGATACTAAATAATTCTGAGGAGTATATTATAGATAAACCCAGCCAGTGTGTGGTACATGCATGTAATCCCAGCTACTTGGGAGGCTGAGATGGGAGGATTGCAAATTCGGACTAGCCTCAGCAATTTAGTGAGGCCCTCAGCAACTTAGTGAGACCTTGCCTTGAAATAAAAAATAAAAAGGGGTGGGGATATATGGTTTAGTGGTAAAATGCCTGGGTTAAATGCCCAGTATCCAAAAAATGTTAAATCCAGTCACATGTGGTGGTGTACAGCTGTAATCTCAGCTACTTTGGGAGGCTGAGGAAGGAGGACTGAAATTTGGAGGTTAGCCTCAGCAACTCAGCCAGACCCTGCCTCAAAAAACAAGAAAACAAAAGGTTGAGTATGTAGCTCAATGGTAGAGAACCCCTGGTTTTAATCTCCAGTACTGAAATACAAATACAAATACAAACAAAAACCAACCAAACAAAAAACCCCTAAATCCAATAATATAAAGAAGACCTATATTACAAAATATTGCCATGTTGACACTTGACACATTTTAAGGTTATAGAAACATAATTTGAAAAATTGCAGTAGCAGAAACCTTTTTCTGAGTTTATTAAAAAATACATAAATACATGTGTATATACATATATTCCTCAGTCTTTTTAATTTTGAAACAGGTGTCACTAAGTTGCTGAGGTTGGCTTTGAACTTGTGATCCTCCTGCCTCAGCCTCCTAAACCACTGGGATTTCAGGTGTGTGTCATTGTGCCTAGCCAAATAATGAATATTTTTTGCATCTGTATAATTAAGCAAAACATACTAGTGATATTTTGTTAAAAGCAGTAAATAATTTGTTTTGCTAAAAGAACCTAATAAATTGAAAACACTCAGAATACTTTGGAACCACCCAAATAACTTTTAGGATAAGAAACCAAACTAACTATGTTGCTATCTCACAGTAAAAGAATCAAAAGTTTAGAAAATAAGGGTACCTTCTCCATGTTTGTCAGTATACTGGAATGCTTGAACCAAACGTAGTGTCTCATCCACTGATCTACCCACAGGAAGGTCATTCAGAGTAATCTGTCTCAGGATTCCTTTGTCATCAATAATAAAGAGGCCTCTATGAAAGACAAGAGTGATAGGGGTAAGACCATTTCTTTTCAGTTAAGTATTAGTTAATGTGAATCCCTGTACCATCCACATAGAAGGATGCTATACAGACCCCAAAATACGCTACCTATTCACTACTCTACTGGTACACACTCTCGCTCACCCCTACACACTTTCCCTCATCTGCTGTATAATTTGGGATTGTCACTGTTAAATGATAGTTTTAAAAATTTGCTTTTGAGGGCTGGGGTTGTGGCTCAGTGGTGGAGTGCTCGCCTAGCATGTGTGAGACCCTGGGTTCAATCCTCAGCACCACATAAAAATAAATAAGTAAAATAAAGTTATTGTGTCCAACTACAACTAAAAAAAAATAAATGTTTTTAAAAAATTTGCTTTTGACTTTGAAATGTAATAGTTAGAAATAAATAATTAAAAAGAAATGATACAAATAAAACAGCTAATACGGTATTAGATCATTTTACTTGATCAATGTTCAAATAATCCTAAATGTTAAAACTCTCAGTCTTTAGCAGCATAGTTACTCTTTGGGAGTCAACTTAATAATAGATTTTATGAAAGCAGAAAACATTAAGGATTTGGCAAGTACAAAAATGAGAGAAACCACCTGTAGCAATACATACTATGAACATTGAAAACAGTATGCCAAGTGAAAGAGGGTAGTCAAAGGGCATATATTGTAGGATTCCATTTATATGAAGTATTCAGAATAAGAAGTAAAAGACAAAGTAGATTAGTGCTTGCCTAGGGCTCAGGGAAGGAGGTTGGGGGAAATAGGGAGGGACTGCTAATGGGTATAGGGCTTCTTTTCAGAGTAATGAAAATGTTCTTAAAAAAAAAAAGAAAATGTTCTAAAATTGTGGTGATGGTTGCACAACTCTGAATATACTAAAACCCACTTGATTGTATACTTTTTAAAGCTGTTATAAAAACAGGACTTAAGGGCTGAGGCTGTAGCTCAGTGGCAGAGCACTTGCCTTGCATGTGTGAGGCACTGGGTTTGATCCTTAGCATCACATAAAAATAAATAAATAAAACAAAGGCATTCTGGGGCTGGGATTGTAGCTCAATGGCAGAGTGTCTGCCTTGAATGTGTGAGGCAATGGGTTCAATCCTCAGCACCACATAAAAATAAATAAATATATCGTGTCCATCTACAACTACAAAATATTAAAAAATAAAGGCATTCTATCTACAACTACAAAAAAATTAAAAAAAACAGGATTTAAAATACCTTTCCACATAAAACATTAAAAAACAATTGACACTTCAAAGCAAATAAGCAAGTTAATTACAACAAAAGTACATCTGTTTTTTAGGCCAAAATTGATATTTTTCATAGAATTCTATTAGCATTTGTTAGCCCAAGTAACCCACTGAGAGCTACTGGGTAAGATACTGCCTTAATTTTTCCCATTCTAAAGACACAGATTTGCTAATTAACTATAGTTGTACTTAGAAAACAAATTACTAGAGTCAGTTTGTAAAAAAGGAAAAGAGAAATGGAAAAGGAGTTGGGGGACATGGATTCAAGCCTGGGCTCTGAAATTAACTAATTATATAACTTTGTTTAAGATCATGGAACTCTATGAATCTGTCTTTTTTATTAATAAGGGTTGGTCAAATATCTCTAAATAAACTTCCATCTCTAACAGCATATGCACTATAATAGTTAAGGGTATCTACAACATTTCTACAAATAGAACAAAAATAATATTACTTGATCAAAGTTTATATCTTCTAACTTGTAAAAAAAAAAAACATCAATTTCCAGAGGATTATAAATGTACTTGAATTTTTCTTAATATAAGCTACCTAAGAGTGTGGCCAGAGTCCTCCAGATATACACCATAGTCCTTTGAGATCTGATGGTTCAAGTCTGAAAGAAGTGGAAATCTTATTGATCCAAGTCCTCCTTGCTTTCGAGGGGTATTAATCCTGCAACAAACAGAACATTTACTTCTTAGAGCTAAGCAAATGACATAACTAAAACAGTGACCATTCTTTCTCTGCATATGCATGTACACACATACATATATTCTCTCTCTAAAACAGGCTAATATACTTTGTTTTCTTGCCTTTTTCCTCAATATATTCATATCCTTTAAGCACTAAATATAGACATATAAAACACATTTTTAATGTATGTATTTTATACATCTCTATTGACATTAGACTGGATTTTTTTAATAAACATTGCTGGAAACGTCCTTGTAGTCTATCATTTCTGTACACTTGTCTGATAAGTCGAACAGATAGACCAAAGGATATGCACTGTCATAAGCATAACCATAGAACTGATTCCTTAGAATTAAGGAAGTTAGTCATAATATCAGATACATCAATACCCAGATTTAAATATTCTGTAACCTGAAATCACAGGGCTTGTGGGCTGGTGTCCTAATAGGAAGACATATAGAATGACATAACTTTTTCATTGTGGACGTGACTTTTAATCCTAGAAGATTTAGAATCATTAAACTGGTGAAACAAATAAGCCTGTAGATATTACAAAATAATCAGGCTGGGGATATGGCTCAGTGGTAGAGCGCTTGCCCAGCATGTTCAAGACTTTGGGTTCAATCCCCAGCACTATTTTAAAAAAAGAAATAATCAGTATATATTTGAATATTAAGCTCTGTATAATATTTAAAAGAATTTGTCATATTAGCATTACTTATTTGAGGTTTGTCTGAAAGCAGATACTTGAGAAAATATATTAAATATGTATCTGCATTTTAAAATAACTCAAGGGGAGTTACTGCAGCTCTCCAACCAATTAAAATTTGTTATACATATATACTCATACACATATATGTGATAAATGTGTATATATAAATAAAATTGTAAGTGGAGAAAAACTTCTGTTTGAATTTGTAACTTTAAGTTTTAAAACCAAAAAATTCTGAATGATTTTTATTATACACAAAATTCTGAGCCCAAAATTGTGGATCTTAAAAACCCACATCATGTTTCAAATTTGAGACATGTTGCCAAACTGCTCTCCAGAAATGAATTGACTGTGTGAGTGCCATTTCTGCACACCTTTGTCAACAATGCATGAATTTTTTTCAATCTGTTAAATACTGGCCAGTCAGACCGAAAGAAATGTCATCACTTGTTATTTTAATTTGCAGTTCTTTGCAGTTAGTTAGGTAGAACATCCTTTCATGATTAATGCATTTTAAAAATTACTTTATAAAATTTTTAAAAATTATTGCTTCTTTTTTTAAATATATTTTTTAGTTGTAGGTGGACACATACCTTTATTTTATTTTTATGAAGTGCTGAGGATTGAACCCAGTGCCTTACACTGAGCCACAGTCCCAAATTATTGCTTCTTAAAAATTATAAAAAGCTATTGGGAGTTTGACCTACCATAACAGAGGACTGTTAACAGAAAAGTGGCATATTTTAAAGATTTTATTTCTCTAGATTAAGGTTACCCAATTGATCAAAACAAAGTAATTATACAATCTAGTAGTTTTTGCTGTGGAAATCATAACTATTACATTTAACTTCTCCCCAATTTTGAAGTGTCCTATACAATTCTTAAGCATTTTTACAAGAACTTCATGGAACTAGTAACTCATTGTATTATGCAGATAAATCTATTCCTGAAAAAATCTGATAAATATTTATCATATATCTATAATACCTAATAAGTATTTATCCATATCTGATAAATGGCATGATATCATGTTAGTATTTATCTGCCCATGATTTAAATCCATTCTCTCTTCCTACAAATATAAATGCAAAATACTGACCAGGCCAAATGGGTAAACTGCGAATCAACAGAACATGCCACCACTTCAGTATTTATAGCTCTAAATTCATCAATTCTAGCACCAAAGGCGATGATTTCAGTTGGACACACAAATGTGCTGAAAGTTAAAAAAATATAATTTAGTATTCTCAAAATAACCATATACCTGAATTTTCACATGACAATTTCTACAAACACCTTTACTAAATAAAAATGCACTTTAAGAACAATTTCATACATGGGTCTTCTCAAGATGAAATAGTCCAAAAGATTTTCCATTTCATCAAATATTTAATAAATATATATTACAGGGTTCATAATTACATCTCAAACTTTCTTCTTATAACTCAATGGCTCAGTGATCAACCAATATTCCATTCTCACTTATAGCAGCACCCCTATTTCATTACCTTTTATTTAATAATAATTTGTATTTATTATAGCTTCCAAGGTATCTATACAAATTTTACATCATTTCATTATTGTTTTTTTTACATTCCTAAACCCAAACTGTGAGTCAGATGCATCTACTGTATTCTGTAGATGAGGCAATGTTCTCCAGTTTCCCTGATCCCTTTGAGACAGGTCTTCTTCCACCTTGTCTCCCAGTTCTGCAGAGCCAGGGATTTTACACCTTAATTCTGTCATGGGTGAGAAGTGCATGATTAGAGAATATTACCTAAGGTAGTATTTTTCCAACTGTGGTAGGGACTCCTTAATCTAATTTAGTGAGTTCCAATAAACATTAAAAAAAGTGAAATAAAACAGTAAATATGGGAATACATCATACACAGTAAGGGTAAGTTAGAAAACACATACATGTTTATATAAATGCATAAATATGTCTGTGTTCAGCAGTGACATTCAAAATATTTAACAACCTTAACTTGGAGCTGGCTTTAGCTTTGAAATTTTCTGAACGAGATCAGGTGGAAGGGTCAACTTGGGAAGGAGGTTGGGCAAGTGGCTATTTACCACTTAGTATGGAAGTCTTTCAATGTTTTAACAACAAGCATGGCTATGCTGGTGTATATAGACTGAGTGTTACTCTATATATGTATGTATTTGGTGGTAATGAAAAATATATTGCTGTGTGTCATGGCCAAAAGTTTGGAAAACACAGACTCAGGACAAGTTCCTAACTGAACCCAGTACGGGATTTTAAAATGTTTCAGTTGTTTAGGCATAGTGCTTCCATGTGAAAGAAGTCAGTTCTAATCTAGGATTATGTCCCTGGAAACCTGGGCAGTATTATGTATTTTTAATATTATCTAAAAGGTAACCCCTCTTCGCCTTCCTTCCTATCATCCCAAGAAATACTACCTAGAAACACATTTTCCTTAGTTCTTAGTGAAGACAGCAAAAAAACAAAAACAAAAACCAAACAAACAAATAAAACAACAACAACAACAACAACAAAAACAAAACAAAAAACACCCTGGTACAGACTGAAGGGTTACATGTGACTTTCCTCCTGCCATACAGACCATGGCAAATGCCCCAGAAAGCTTCCTTTTCTTACTAGATCCAGACTGGCATTACACAGAAACAACAGGAAGAACCTATCTTAGCTCCTTACCCCAGAAGACCATTGTGAATATTATGCTGTAATGAGGTATGCTTTATTTATTATGGAGTTTTAAATAACACTAGGGAAACAAAGCATATATAAGACTAATCTCAAAATTCAGGGTTAATATTTTATACATTTAACATGTATATTAGCTTTCTGGCTTTATAACAACTTAAATTTAGAAGGTCTATCATTTTTTATATTTATTAATATTTCTAATTCTGGTCTCTGTGGAAAATTACCTTATTCTTTTTAGCTAGTTGTACAAATTGATTAGAAAGATAACTCATTTTAGTCATAATGTACTAATTTTTATGAGAATTCTTCCGATTTGGCTTTGTGTAGGGGTTGGGAAACTGGTCCACAGGCCAAATCCAGCTTTTTTCAATGCAGCAGAGCAACAGTTCTGCATTTATGTTTTGTTTATAGTTGCTTGTGAGCTACAGTGGTAAAGTTGAGCACTGGGATTATCAAAAGGCTAAAATATTTACTATTTAAAATTTAAAGAAAAATTTGCTGGACTTTGGCTAGAAAAAAATCTGTAGAAATGAGTTTAAGTGTACTCTCTCTGAAAGTAATTTTTTTGTGGTGCTGGGGCTCTGTGCTTATGAGGTAAGTGCTCTACCACTGAACTACACCCCCAACCCAAGTTTAATTTTCATTTACATAATTCATATTAGTCCTAATGGAAAAAGGCACAGTGGCAAAGATAGAGGAGTATTTTACTTTTTGTAACCAAAAAATAAATTCAGGTTAAAAAAACGATCGAGGATAGGATAACTCTCTGGTTTCTTTTGACTTCCATGGGATTTGAAAAATACTCAAGAGTAGTAGTTTTCAAATTAAAGATCTTGATGAGGATAGAACTACAAGAGTATTTACTTGAAGTCAATTTTCTGATCATTCACAAACATTACCATAGAGTTAAAGAAAAAAATCCTATAAGAACCATAACATATTAATAGCTATTATATTAATATTTTCAGGCAAGTGTTCAAATCACAGGAAGGGAACAGATACAGCAACGAATAAAAATGGTAAAACCATTAAGCAGAATTATGGCATGAATCTTGCTACTAACTGCATTCTAAAATATTATCAGTCTACTTTCTTGCCATAGTATGTGTAGCTTAATGAATATATTGCAGCTTTTCTCTAATTATTCCATTATGAAAATACTATATAGGTATATGTGAGTAAAAATTTATTTAGGAAAATGGATTATGACTGAAATGTAGATGTTATCTTTTTGAATAAATTCCTCAATTGGCTTATTTTTAAAAGAACCAACAGCTAAAAAAATTCTTAGTTGATGTTCTTGAATGATGAATGGTTGACTATTTTTACTAGTTGCTATTTACAAGTTATTACTTACAAATCAAGTGGGTAGAAGAAAAAGACCAAGTATTTTCCACGATAATCTGTTAATTTGAGCTCCTTAAATTCTCCATTTATCACTGCTGTTCCTTCCCAATAAGGTGCTGGCTTGGAAACTAAGAAAGAAAGAAAGAAAGAAAAAAAAAACATGGTATTTTATAAAACAGGAAGCTGACAGAATAGCAAATGGATGTCTTTAGAAAAATCCTTAAAAATTAGAGCTTCTAAACCTTTGGACTTCATTGACAGTCTGGTGAAGCTTACAGACTTCTTACAACTTAGAGTTACTGACTATATAAAATACATAGAATTGTAAAGAAAACGAATTACAGTGAAATGCAACTATCAAAATATTTAAAAATTGGTGATATAGTAATACATGTGCTATTTTATCTTAAGCTGCAAGATCTGAAAGAGTTCTAATGACTATCTAATGATAAAATAATGAATGTAAATGTTTTAGGATTCCTGTAATAACCATAATATAGCATGAAAATATCTGATTACATTGGCAGCGGTTACAAGCAAGTACTGCTGATGGTAATGTGGTTTGTTGCTGACATCCATAATGGGAGGAAATGCTAAATTTTAGTTGGGGGGTTAATGAAAATAAACCCTTTTTTTCTACATTTCATCCCTGCACTATATCTTACTGGATATTTCACTATAACTTCCCCCCACAACGTTATCAACTTCCTAAATTCAAATCATTAGATTTTCTTTCCTATAATGGCAGTCTTTCAGATGTACTAATTTAGTTTGTCCAGCTTCTCAGATACACAGGGAGGATCTGCTGCAGGCAGGGCTACACTCAAGGAGGAGAAATGTGCAAATATATCAGGCCAGAAGTGGACAACCCCAGACAACGGGATAATTTTCCTAGAGGACTTTGGAAAAAAAGACACCCTTGAACAGGTTTCAAGTGGCCTGATGGAAACTGGTTAGTGCTACTCTCTTGTAACAGCATACTGTAACCCTAGCCAACACCCTTTGATAATAATGTACCTTCATATGGATAGCACTTATACTTTGAGAACCAACACATACAATGAAGTCAATATTTGATTTTCCAAGTTTGACTAAAATTTCTAGAAATAAGGCTTAGACTTTTGTATAACACTGAGCATTTATGGTTACTCTGAAATGAGACAAACTGAAGATTAATGTCTCTGTGAAGTTAACATATAACATGCGATTACTTACCTTGAGCCAGCAGCCTACCTTATTTAATAATCCTGATCTGATTAGGTAAAGGCCAGAAGAGAGAATTAGCTATAACTATATTTGCTTATATACATTACTTAAATTACCACTCAAGTGAGAGGTTATGATAATTCTAATGATGTACCACAGTGACACTCCTTAATGATTTTAGAATATTAGGAAAACCATATTGGGAAAATGTTTTTTGTCTGAAAATTGATTTTGGAAATTTTGCTTTTTTACTAAAATCTACAAATGGAATTTCCAGAGTAACTCTTTGCATCTATTAAAAACAATTAACATATCCTGAATATAAATTATATAATTTACAAGTATTTTAGTTAAATGCAGAGAAGTATAAAGAATATATAACCAGGCATGGTGATGCATTCATGTAATCCCAGAAGCTCGAGAGGCTAAGGCAGGAGGATGAATTCAAAGTCAGCCTCAGCAATTTAGCAAGGTTTTAAACAACCTAGTGAGATCCCGTCTCAAAATAAAAAAATAAAAAGGGCTGGGGGATATGGCTCAGTTGTTATGTGCCCCTGGGTTCAATCCCTGGTAACAAAACCAAAAAATATTTAAATTCCCTCTCTCCATAACCCTATCAACCTAACTATTGTTAACATTTTGATGTCTTACCTTCCAGTATTTTTAAAAACAAATTTGGTTCATGTTGTGTTGTACCCCCTTTTCCCCTTGTTCATGAAAGGAAACAGTAAGTTATGAAGTTTTTGTTACTAAAAGTAATATTAAAATATGACCTTAAAAATATCCATAATATATCCCTTTTTATGAATAAAAGTCCTTTATCTCTAATTCTAGATAATTCTACACAGGACCCAGAAATATAAAAATACATATAATTTGAAAATGTTTGCTGGTAAAGGGAAAGCTATTACTACTATTTTTTTTTTTTTTGCTTCCATAAGTGGCTTTAGAGTGGATTTGGATTTGTTTTCTATGGACAATATATGTACTGTAAGTAAACACTTAATTGCCTGACATATTTCAAAATGTCTTCCCAGGCAAGTGACACCAATGGGACTTGAAAATATGATTTTAAAAGTGCAAGACTGGCTTTCTAGAAACAAAAATCCCAAAGTATTTAACTTTCAGTATGAAAGAAGAACAAATGTTTAAGAAGGCAAAACAGTTTTTCTCATTTATCAATTACTCCCACTCCATCCTAAGTCCTAAAAACATCCCATTTATCTCCGGGATTCACAACTGTGAAGCATTACTTTTTTTCACTAAATGCTGCCAAAGAACATACTGTAGCAACCACAAAAACCAAATACACACCTACAGAATGTCAAATGATCCGTAGGAAAAGGAGGTTACTTGAAAAGCAAGTAAAAGATATCAGTATTCCCAGGATACTTCTTTTTGGCTAATCTTAATGTCCAGATGCAGCAGGCCCCAGCTTTCTGAGTTATCTACTTAGTCTGACGTGTCCTTCCTGAAAGTGTCCATTAGCTTTGTACACAGGACAGAAATGCAAATAATCAAAAGCCAAATTGGCAGGACACAAATTTGCCTCGAGATTTATCATGAACTCAGATGTGTTACTTCCAACCTTCTTTTCCCTCCTTCCCCCTCCTAAGTACAAACTATAACAGTTCTTTTCTGAGAAACACGAACAATACCCATGAACTGACTACGTGGCTTTCGGGGAAGATGGTTTTTAATAATCTTCTTTGTAAGATACAACAGCAAAAGATAAAGGAAGAAAAATGAAATATTTGACCTTCTGAACACTTTGTTTAGCCACTTTTCTGTCTGACTAAACTTTCTGTGAATCATTATTCAGCCTATCAATGTACTTTTCCCCTGAAACAGTACTTGAAAAGAGACTGGACATGCTGCAGGCACTTTACGATGTTTGAGGAAGTGTTTTAGTTTGCACAATATCCTCAAGTCCCCCTTTGGGCCACCCTCTTTCCCTCATCTGCGGCTTTTGGGGTAACCATTATCTCTTCCAAAATCTCATCGGTGGAAAAAATCCCTTTCTCCACAACTGGCACACCCCTCCAACTTCCTGCCCAAGGAGAGGAACAGGCAGATCCAGGATCCAGGGCCCTGACACTGTCCAGGGGGTGCCGCCCAACTTTAGACCGCCCCCCCCCCAACCACGGGGTAGCATCTGTAGGCAGGGTACACGTGTCTTTGGGCTCTCCCCATCCCCACTCCTACCCTCGAAAGCACCACCTACTCTTGGCTTTGGTTAGGTGCAGGGAGTGGTCTGCGACTGATACCCGGGACGCCTCCCCGGGATACACTTGTCCACCAGCGTAGAAGTGGCACTCTTTTTCGCGGGTCCGGGGCCTCTCCGTCTCCAAGCCCCTCAGAGCCCCGATCGGCAGCAGGAACAGCACCACTGGCAGCAGAAGCAGCTTGCGGCTCCATCCAGGAGCCGGAGACCTCGCGGCTACAAGCCGCGGCGGCAGCACCTCCATAACCAAGCGAGCGAAAAATCACGTCTCTCAGCTGGAGTGCCACTTCTCCCGCCGCTGGCAGTTACAACCGCGTGCACAGCACCCGCGCGAGTTAGGGCGCGGCCTCGCGAGACTTGCTCCGCCCCACTCCGCCCCACTCCGCCCCCCCAGCCACGTGGGCGCTGACCCCGCCCTCTCGCCCCCTAGCCTTTGTGCACGCGCTTTGGGGCGGGCCCAGGAGAGCGTTGTCAATTGTGTTATGGCTGCCTCTAGGCGGCGGTTGACTCGCATTACCAGGGTCCCGCTGTTAGCATTATTTTAGACATACTTCCACGCCAATCTCTTCCACAGGTCCTCACCACTGCACACTGTCCATTCAAAGGTTGAAACGAAGCTACATGCCTGTAAACGGCTTGCATTTTATATTTCTAATGGACTTTTAAAAAAGTCACTTATAATTTCAATTGACAAATTGAAATTGGGTTTAATTTGGAATGACTGAATTAAACAAATGCACAAATGCACATATTCATCCCCTCATTTACCTTTTAGTTTTGTGGTGAAACATTTAAAATTTACTGTCCCCCGCTCCGAGGTACTGGGGATTGAATCCAAGGGTGCTTAAGTACTGAGCCACATCCCCAGCGCTTTTTAATATTTTAGAGACAAGGTCTTCCTGAGTTGTTTAGGGCCTCGCTAAGTTGTTGAGGCTGGCTTAGAACTCGCGATCCTCCTGTCAGCCTCCCGAGAGTCGCTGGGATTACAGGAATTCACCACTGAGCCCCGCATACTCTGCTGCTTTGAAGTATACATTATTATTGTTTGTGTTTATCATGCTGGTTACCAGAGACTTGGGTGGGTGAAGGATGTAAGGGCATACAGGTGAAAGAGTACAAAGTTTCAGATAGGAAGAAAAAGTTTTGAGATCTAATAGACATTTTCTTGTTTTCCTTGAAGTGATTTGTGTGAACAGTGTCATAACTCTCCCCTGCAGCTCTTTTAAATCCTGGGAAAACTTGAAGGAGATAAATCTAACCATTTACTCTCCTTCAGCAGATAAGGACAGGCAGTTTTTGATGACTTAATCTTGTCTCAAAAATGTCTTTCTTTTTAAAATCAAGACTGGAAAATTTCCCAGAACAGCCCTTTTCCCAGCACAGCTTCTGACAATTACTCCATTACCCACCCTTGGCCTCTCTCCCGCCCTCCTCACCCACCAACGATTCCCCGCTGCAAGCTCCACCCTCCACCTAATGTTTGCGTCTGTGCTCTGGGGGCAGGCACAGGCTCTGCAGATTTGTTGCGTCACCTTGTGAGAGCTCTCCCACCATCTCGCTCTCCCACCATCTCACTCTCCCATTCTCCCACCCTCAGCACTTTCTAGGCCCGTCTTTTCCACAAAAATTTGCTGGTGAGTCATTGTTGTGACTGGCCTCCCACTATCCGCACTGTTAGTCACATTTACTCTTCTACACCTTTCTCTTCCTACCAGACTTGGCCGGTGACTGGCTTCCCACCTTTAAGGTGATCCACCTCCAGTGTCAGGCCCTCAGTACTGTGTTAGACCCTCTCATTCTTTCACAAAGCCTCCCCATTGCAACACCGTTCCACTCCATGCATCATGGATCTTGAATGGCTTGCATTGTATTCCTCTAATAGATATTTCTTCTTCTTTACTTTGCAGTGATCTGACTAAGCAGTGCCATGATTGTCCTCTCTAGTCATAGCCCTTTTCAATCCAGGGAAAACTTGGAGGAAAAAAGGGCTAACCTGAAAAGCAGTATCTCTAGACCATTTCTTCTCTTCTGGAAGCAAAGAAACTACAGGGCAAACAGGCAGTTTCGCGACCTAAGCTGTCTCAGGTGTGTATTTTTTTTTTTAACATTAAAACTTGGGCTGGGGGGTGTAGCTCAGTGGTAGAGAGCATTCCCACCAAGAAGTAGGTTCAGTGTCCAGCAGCAAAACAAAAGTAAAACTTGAAAAGTTCCAGAAAAGTTCCCAGGACTCCTTGGTTACATCTTCTAGCATTTAATCCATCAGCCAACAGTTGGCTGGGATGGAAGGTGAGGACAGGGGAAAAGAAACAGCATATACCAGAAGGAGGGGAGCCATCAGCAACATTTATGTCTTTAGGGCTCCATTTGTCTTTCTGGGAGTTCTTGTCATCTTTCTGAAACCCACAAAAGAGTTTGTCTTCTATTAAAGTATGAGCTCCTTGAGGCCAAAGTCAACATTGATTTGGTCATTGTTTCCCAAAGGACTGGTACAGAGTAAGCATTTGATATTGTAAGCACTTATTTTGCAAATAACTTCTAATATTCCAAACAGTCTGTATTAGTTTCAACTTGCTTTCAAATATATTGACAGTCCTTTGAGGCAGATGGAAAATCTGCCCTTTCCAAATTCATCCCTTGCCCAGTTTCTGCCCCTGGTATGCTCTGCTTTCTGCTTCAAGGCCCTGTTTCCCGCCAGCAAAGGATGTAAAAGATGAAGGCAGGGCCCCTGGTGCTGGAGGAGGGAGAGGATGTACTTACTCATAACATTTTCTGGCAATTCTTCGCTTTCTGGGGGTGCACAGATAGGAGCCCTCTGACGAGGTAGCTCACGCTCCCATTCTTCTCCTTCCCTGGCCTCCTGTTCCACATACAAGGGAAGTGGTGCCCGGGGGGCTCGGACCTGGGTCCCAGCAATTCGGTTCAGGCCTATGCTCCGTGGTCGGCCCCGGTGATCCATGGTGACTGTTGGACAGTCACAAGCCCCTGAGTTTGCACCTGGGAATTCCTTGGAACACTTGGGGAGAACGTTATCTCCCTATACCTCTTTGCCCTGGGCTCAGCTGAGATGCCCCAATTGGTAGCAGGAACTACCCACCAAGTGGGCCCCAGTGAACCCTCTGCCCACTGGGGAGAGTGACCAGGTTGGCCAGCTCCCTGGTACCTACTCCATATCCCATTGGAACCCCTTGGAAGCCAACATTCTGAGTGGCAGTTGCTCTGAACCCTTTCATCCAATAAAATTTGTGCAGGCATTGTGCTGTCACAGGAACATCTATAGGAAGCTTGAGGTAGGGGCCTTGCCTTCAAGGCACTTACCATCTAGCTGGAGTCAGTTACCCATAATAATAATAATACAAACCCTTTAGACACAGGGGTGGCTGTAAACCCAGGGTATACCTCAGACACACCTGAGGAGTTTAAAAATAGTCAAATGCTGGAACTTATAGCCCCAGAAATGTAATTTAACAGATACTTGGGGGGCCCTCAAGCATCTTTGGTTTCACAAATGGGCATATCTGGTTAAGAACCATCACTGATGGCAGTTATGAGCATAGGTTGTGAGGTCAGCATTTCTAGGTTCAAATCTGAGTTCTATCACTTGTTGGCCTTGTGAAATGTATTTAACCTCCCTGAACCTCAGTTTCTTTATCCGCAGAGGGAAGGCATTAATACTTTCCCCCCATGTTGTGAAACTGAAATGATAGGATAAATGTAAAAGCCTAACTTTGAATGCAGGCCAGATTTAGAGATTCACTTCTAATTAATATGGCAGAAGTAATGTTTTTTGACTTCTGAGACTAGGTCATAACTTATGCTTAGGTCACTCTTTCTGGAGGAAGACTTTTTGTCCAAATTTTTATTGAGATAAAATTAACAAAACAGGTTTTTCCTCTTTAGAGGAAAATTAAGTGGTTATTAGTATAATCACAGTGTTCTTTGTATATCACTAGAATCTGATTGTAGAACATATCTTTTGCCCCCCGCCCCTGCCAAGAAAAATCTACTTGCTTATTACTCAGTCCCAATTCTCTCCTTCCCTCATCTCTTGGCAACAACTAAACTCCTCTCTTTTTCTAATTGCTTTACCTGGACATTTCATATAGAGTCATACAATATGTAGCCTTTTGTGTCTGGTTTCTTTTACTTAAGCATAATGCTTTCGATGTTTGCCTAAGTTGTGTCATGTATTGGGACTTATTCCTTTTATAAAGGATATGGATATAGATATAGATAATAGATATATAGATATAGGTATTGCCACTTTAACCATTTTTAAATGTTCAGATGAGTGGCATTAAGTACATTTGCACTATTATGCATTTTTCACCACCATCCATCCTCCAGAAAATTTTCATCTTCCCAAACTACAACTGTACCTGTCAAACAAAAATTCCTAATTATTCCTCCCTTCTGGCCCTCGAAAACAACATTCTACTTTCCGTCTCTGAATTTGACTACTCTATGTACCTCATGTAAGGAGGTTAATACGATATTTGTCCTTTTGTGTGTGGCTTCTTTCACTTAAGCTTAATGTTTTCAAGGTTCATTTTTATAGCCTGTATTAGTCCTCCACTCATTTTTATGACTGAATGATATTCCATTGTTGGATATACCAATTTTTATTCATTCATAAATTGATATATATTTGAGTTATTTATACTATTAGATTTTTTATGAATAATGATGATGCTATGAACATTGATGTGTAAGTATGTGAATACATGTTTTCTGTTCTGTTGGGTATATACCTACCATATGGTTAACTTTTTGAGGTTCTCCCAAAGTGTTTTCCACAGCAGTTGCACCATTTTCTCATTCACACCAGTACTATATGTGTGTGTATGTGTGTGTGTGTGTGTGTGTGTGTGTGTGTATATATATATGTATATGTATGTGTGTGTGTGTGTGTATATATATATATATATATATATATATATATATATATCTCTTTATCTTTTTCATTCTTTGTATTTTTTATTTTTTTTTTTTTTTGGTTGAAGTCATCTGCATGGGTGTAAGGTTGTATCTCATTGTAATTTTGACTTGCATTTCCTAAATGATTAATGATGTTGAGCATCTTTTTATGTGTTTATTGTCCATTTGTATGTTATCTTTGGAGGACTGTCTACCCAATTCTTTTGTCCATTTAATAATTGGGTTGTTTTTCTTTCTGTTGTTGAGTTGTAAAAAATTATTCTTTTTTTTTCAGTGCTGGGGATCCAACCTAGTGCTTCCTGCATGCTAGGGAAGCACTCTACCACTGAGCTCTACCCCTAGCCTATAAGAATTTTTACATATTCTGGATACTAAATCCTTGTCAA